CACACACACTTTTTTTTTTTTTAGAAAGAGATCTTTGAATCTAATCTCCTTTGTTCAGCTGTTTCCTGACCATTACCAATAACAACTTATAACCAACCCCCCTTAAGTGATAACAAACATCCATAATCAACTTTTTGGGAATGTGGGCATGGTTCTATAGACTACTTCATGATGTTTGAGGGAGCTGACATCTTTTTGGGAACCTTGAGAAAACTGGATAATTGTTAATTCTTGAATGGAGTATTCTGTGAGGCTGGATCATGTCAGTCAGCAGCCTTGAAGTTGTTTTGGATGTTGGATCACCTGGTCCATTTTTATTGATGTCTGGTCCTCTTGCTCTAAAAATACATAAACTTTTAAAAAGTAACATACATATCTGCATTAATCCAAGTATAGACTGTGCATTGTACACAAGTCAGTCAAAGATGACTTTTTTGTTATGTGTTTGAGCAGGTAAAATATACATCAGGTGTCCTGTAGTTCTTCTAGGTTTCTTTTTTTCATATCTGTCTGTAGTCAGGATTTCAGGAGGTCTTTCTAGATCAAAACTGGTTTTCCTTAACTCAGAATGAATCAATAGCCTCTCATTTCCTGTGGAAATAAAGCATAACCTGTCCCCCAAAGCAATACATTTTTTACTTAAATTTTGAAGTCAAGATATTTTTAAAATATATAGGCTGGTTGAATCTAGCAGTTTTTATAATCCAGTGTCTCATAGCAGCCAAAAAAAATTCAAAGACAACACAATAACATACAGGATCCAGATGCTCTATATTTCCCATCTTTATGTGGCTTATTATATTTTTTACGTCTCTAGTCCTTTTTTTAAGCACTATCTCTACCCTTTTTCTTTTCTCTCCCAAGCCTTTGTATGTTTTTAAACACACTGTAACCCATTTAGAGGTTCTTTTTTCTGTCTGACTCTGTCTTTACTACATATCTGTAATCTTTTCTGTCTGCATGAGCAAAAACCCCCAACCCGCCATGCAGTGTATAGCCTAAGCCCGCAGGCAGCGGCTGGGAGAAGCCTCTCTGCCCTGGCCGTGTGAGAGTCTGCAGGAACCTGCCATGGTGCTTAGCTCATGGCAGCTGGCAGCTGGCTCTTTCTCACAGGTAACTGTTGGGAGATGTATCTCAGCGCTGCAGCTGGCATGAGACTGTGAGACTAGGAAGCTGTGTTTATCTCTGTTTCTGTGCATTTAGAACTTTTTTTAAAAAGCTTTCTCAGGCTTTATATGGATGACGTTGGGCACCAGGTTCACAACCATCCATAACTCCAGTTCCAAAGGAGCCTATTCCTTCTTCTGACCTCTCTGGGCACCATGCATGCACATGGTTCACATACATACATGCAGGCAAAACACTAATATTGTGGGGTATTAGTTTAAGATGTGTTACATTCATTTATGCTGTGGATTATTTGTTTAATGATGCAAATATGTGTTGCGTTCTTTTATGTTGCATTTGCTTAACTCTATAAAGCTGTGTTATTTTGCCTGCCTAAAACCCCTGATTGGTCTAATAAAGAGCTGAATGGCCAAATAGCTAGGCAGGAGAAAGGACAGGAGGGGCTGGCAGGCAGAGAAAACAAATAAGGAGCAGAAATCTAGGCTAGAGAAGAACAGGAGTGGCGAGGAGCAAGAAGAGGAGAGGAGGATGCCAGAGGCCAGCCACCCAGCCAGCCACGGAGTAAGAAGGAAAGAAAGATATGTAGACCAGAGAAAGGTAAAAAGCCCAAAGGCAAAACATAGTTAAAGAGAAATGGGATAATTTAAGTTAGAAAAGCTGGCTAGAAACAAGTCAAGCTAAGGCCAGGCATTCATAAGTAAGAATAAGTCTTCATGTGTTTATTTGGGAACTAGGTGGCAGGCCCCCAAAGGAAAAAAAGAAAAAAGAAAAAAAAAACCACAACTGCACACTAAGACATATAAAATTAATAAATATAAAATGAATGTTTCAAAATATTTTTTTCATAAAACACAAGGCATTCACACAGCATTTCTTTCTCAAGAACGAGGATGTGATAACAACATCCAGACACAACAACATTGAAAGTTAGATTTGTAATTTAATGACAGGAAACATTTCAAGAGCTGTCCATTTCCTGCACAGTAAAATCCAAATTAGAGACTTCTATTATTGTGTGTCTATCTTTCCCAGATAAAAATCTACCGAAAGGCTCTCTTTATGGTTGCTAAGGACACAGGCTGGTTCCCGCTTCCATTTCTTTACTCACTGAATTCTCTCTGCAAGCCTCTCCCTTTCATTTTGTTTTTCAAAGCCTCTGGGTTGACAACTCACACCACCACCACCATCTCCACCATTTCAGATGCCCTGGTGTTCGCCGGGCTACTGCTATGCACCGTACTTGGCGACACTGTCTTTCCCCCCCACCACCACCAGGCTATATTCAGCCAGTGTGAGTCAACGATAGGATTGCGAGTTCCTTGAGAACAGGGCTGTTTTAGGCAAGTATGAAAACACAAGGGCGGTGGTGGCGCGCGCCTTTAATGCCAGCACTCGGGAGGCAGAGCCAGGTGAATCTCTGTGAGTTCGAGGCCAGCCTGGGCTACCAAGTGAGTTCCAGGAAAGGCATAAAGCTACACAGAGAAAACCCTGTCTCGAAAAACCAAAAAAAAAAAAAAGAAAAGAAAAGAAAACACAAGGGCAGCAGCAGACAGGCCGGAACACTTGAAAGCAGGAAAGCTACTATGTTACAACCAACCAGTTGTTAGGATGTAAGAATTTTAGCCGAACAATAGTATCAGGCCTTCCGATTTTCAAGAGAAACTGAAGTTGAGATTTCTGTATGGAATGACAAGATATAAACACCTTCTCCAATGAAGTTTTTGTTTTGTTAGGAGCATGTTTGTTGAGACAGAGGCTGGCTGGCCTTGAATTCACAGCATTGTGTCATCTTCCTGAGAGCTGGGATTAATGGCATGCAACACCACTCCTGGCCTCGGGTTCTGCTTCTTTTCGAGACAGGGTTTCTCTGTGTAGCTTTGGTGCCTGTCCTGGATCTCGCTCTGTAGCCCATGCTGGCCTCGAACTCACAGAGATCCACCTGGCTCTGCCTCCTGCGTGCTGGGATTAAAGGCGTGCGCCACCACCGCCCGGCTGGGTTCTGCTCCTTAAATGCAGATCAAATAAAAACAGCCATGGGCAAAAGTCACTGACTCCAGTTAATCTTTGCTATAGCAGTAACCAGAAGAATGTGTGTTAAATAGTGCAAAGATTTCTGGTCATTACATATGCCTCATATGGTTGGTTATGTGCTTTAAATAAGTCAGTTCATTTAATCTCTATAACAAATCTGAGAGTTAATTTTACAGACAAAGAAACTGAGACACAGAGCAATTAGATTACTTCACCAAAGTCATAGAGGCAATAAATAACAGATCTCAGATTTGAAATAAATAGTGGGACATCAGAGCTTGCATATACTCTCTTGGCGAACAGTGGTCCTCACGTGGAGGCTCTCTGCTTCTGCAGAGATAAGCAGAAGGAGCCAGATATGGTGGCTTTCACCTGCAATCCTGGCAACCCCAGAGGCTGAGGCAAGAGATTTGCCACAAGTCTGAGGCCAGCCTCGAACAAAAGGAAGTTAGAGAGCAAGAAGCATGGATTCAAGCCCTGCTTCTATAATTCTAGTAGCCCAGGAATAAACTTGGCAAAACATCGTCTCTCTGGTCAGTTATAAAATAAGAAGTTAATCTTATCTTTAAATTCGTTTCAGAGTCTACAATTCTTGCCGTAGTCTGGGAAGACTGATCAGCAGGGAAGGCACTTGCTGTGAAATCATGAGGACTCAGATGCCCATAATCCATGGAAAAGCCAGGCAGGCACAGCCGCCTACCTGTAATCCCAATGCTAAAGAAGCAGAAACAGAATCCTGGGCTATCTAGACCAGCTGAATCCAGTGAGCTCTGGGTTCAAGAGAGAGAGACCCTGCCTCAATGTCTACAGAGGAGCACAATTGAGGAGGGCGCTCAACATCAGCCTCTGGTCTCCATATGTACCTGCCGACACATGTGAACATACATACCTGCCCTGGCTGGTCTTATGTCAACCTGACACACAAACTAGAGTGATCTGAAAGGAAGGAGTCTCAATAGAAAAAAAAAAAAAAACTGCCTCCATAAGATCCAGCTATAGGCAGGCAAGCCCGTAGGACATTTTCTTAATTAGTTATTGATGAGGGAGGGCCCAGCCCATTGTGGGTGGTTCCATCCCTGGGCTAGTGGTTCTGCTTCCTACCAGGTGAGGACTCAGAGACTTTCAGTCTGAGGAAACAGAATCAGCAGAGGAGTTGGCGAGATGAGGTTGGCTGTGGCTTGTTCTGTTTCTCTGATCTTTCAGCGTTCACCCCAATATCTGGCACCATTTTTTTTTATTAATAAGACCTTTTAAAATTGATGTTACACAAGCCAGTAAGCAGCTCCCCTCCGTGGCCTCTGCATCAGTTCCTGCCTCCAGGTTCCTGCCCTGTTTGAGTTCCTGTCCTGACTTCCTTCAGTGATGAACAGTGATGTGGAAGTGTAGGCCGAATAAATCCTTTCTTCCCCAACTTTCTTTTGAGTCATGGTGTTTCATCACAGCAATAGAAAACCTAAGATAATACCATACACACTACACAAAAGAAGATTTAAAATTTTCACAATTCTAGTCAGCCTCAAATTAATGTGTAAGGCAGAAAAACAATAGTTCTCTCTCTCTCTCTCTCTCTCTCTCTCTCTCTCTCTCTCTCTCACACACACACACACACACACACACACACACACACACACACACCATCTGCCTATAGTGATTTGTTGTCATTTTAGTTTTGTGTAGATAATTTTGATTCCACTCCCTTTCCGATTACGTTCACTCTGCACAGTAGACAAGTACGTTTGGCATTTTGCTTCTACCGATTCTCCTATAGATTTAGGGGCATATAGATTTTCTAATCAGGTTTACTGAATATTATAACATTAGCTAGAAATGTAAACACCTAAAAGGTGGTCAAAATGTTATATTACACACTACTTACCTCTAGGCTTTGCCAATCTTTTTTTTTTTTATGTTGGTGTGTGTGTGTGTATGTGTGTGTGTACTCATGCATAAGCACATGCGCATGTGATTGACAACTTCTGGGAGCCGAATTGGTTCTCCCATCTCCCAGTATGCTGGTCCTGGGTGCTGAAGGTCATGAGACTTGGTGGCAAGCGCGTTTACCCGCCATGCCATGCGGCCAGCCCCACTTTGTCAGATCTTAGCATCTTGCTGTGCTTGCTCCAGCCCCTCCCCAATCCGACTTCTCTCCTCTTTTCACAGTACCCAGTATTCCAGCTCTGGCGCTTTGGATTACTACAGCTGTGTACATACTGTTTTCCTATCTGTATTATTCCAGAGCTAGCATAGTGCCGCTTAGCATTTTAAATAGATCATTGAAAAATAGCCTTGAGATCTTCCATTCCTGTCTCTCGAGACTTTCTTAGTCCCGCGGCAGCCTGCCTCTGGGAGACCCACCGCACCCCCATTCCCTGGAGACTGTTGGTGCAAACCCAGGTCCCCTAGCTCTGTCTCTGCCCCTCTCAGCCTGGCTCCTACCCCATCCCCCTTCCCTGTGCTACCCACTAACCAGCAGAAGCACCCTCTACCAGGGACTGCACAGCCACCACACTTGCCTGGGGCCCAGAGTGGGCAACAGCAAAGAACAAAACACTCACCCAATAAACACCCCTCTTTCACCGGTCAAAAACTAAACAGAGAAATGCTGTAGTAAAATAGTGTCATAAATCAAATGGACTTAGCCAATATATACAAAACATTCCACACAAACACAAAATAACATACTTTCTTCTCAGCAGTCCATGGAACTTTAACTGAAATTGACCACACATTAGGACACATTGTAAGTCTCAACAGATGATATAAGAAAATAGCACATTGCTGGGCAGTGGTGGTGCTCGACTTTAATCCCAGCACTTGGGAGGCAGAGGCAGGTGGATCTTCATGAGTTCGAGGTCAGCCTAGTCTACAGAGTAAGTCCAGGACAGGCTCCAAAGCTACACAAGAAACCCTGTCTTGAAAAAAAAAAAAAGAGAGAGAGA